CTTAGTATGTGTTTAAACCATCAGTAACATAAATCAACCAACCAAAACGTAATTCTTATTAATTGCATTCAAAATTGTCACTATTACTATTGATAACTTCCATTTACAGTTTGATATTCACCCAATCTCAAAATATCAAATGATGTATGACTCTTTTTTATTTAAAGCGTTCTATTGTTTTATCACACATTGTGATGGTAGCCACCCTTTCTACCTGAACTACTTAATATTTGATCAGGTCATCATCCACATCAAATTTAATGCACCTTTTATTTAAAAATAAATGTTTGAAGTCTTTGACACAATATGGGCAATAGGCCATAAGAGAGAAGCTAACCACACTAAAGTATGCAACTAAGTTTTTTTTCATTATTTGTGGTTGGTCATAAACAACTACATGCTAGGCACATGCAACTAAAAGGTTAGAAAATGTCTTACTGATCTTAGAGCACAAATTGAACTCAACAAAAAACAGTTTTTAAATGGTTCTCAAAACCGTTGACTGTAGTAGTCAATGCCAGTGTGTTTTGAACGGGTAGGTAAATACCCTACTAAAATTGGTTGTATGCTGTTAAGTCCGTCCAACTACAATCCATCCTATCATTCAATTAGTCAGGCCGCGTAGAGTTTAGAGTCTGTGACGTCACGCTGGCCCGTTGTTGATTACGGTTATCAGCGCATTGCGGTTCTCCCTGTATAATGTCCGACCTTCATTGACCTCGTAGCGCCACTTTCGAAACTCCCACAAATCGCTGCAAGTCTCCTCCAGCTGCTGGCAGAACGCTCGTCGTACCTATAAAATAGGCCCTACCTATAATTGTTGCAGCCTGCTTTAAGTTTTATAGGTTAACAAATCATGATGTTTGATAACATCCGATTTATCAATACATAGCAGAACAGAAATTGAAAACTTAGTTCTATGAGATCATATAGTGTAAAAAAAGTTTTAACTATCTAATTTAAATCTGTGTGGACATGAAAGAAGAAAATGTAATTATCATGAAATATTAGTTGGTTTCACTGCATAATTTTAATTTAATACAGATTGATGGGGTAAACTTAACTTTAGAATAGAATTTAACGTCCCAAACTTATGTTACTAAATATCGGAACAAATTTAGTATCCTGTAGAAGCTGTAATCTATACTATAGGATCGACTGGACTTGAAAGATACACGGCTTGTAGTAGATTGTATTTTAGCGACATTCAAGAGTGTTGGAAAAAGTTAATTATCCAAGTGATTTGTAATCTCTTGTTGATTATCTTACAAAGGTTTACAGCATCGACAAGAAATAATTTTCCAAGCTAAGTCACAATCGCTTATTAGTTTATCATAACAGTGATGGACTTGGTCTACGAGTTTTAAGTCTAATATGAACCTCAAATACAGGGTTCATAGTATACTCTTGTATATACTCTTCATAGTATATACTTCTAGTTTATACATATACTATAGGGTATAGGGGTCAATTACAAGGGAGAGTGTGGGATGCAGATGGTATGTGCAGCTTGGTTACTAAGATCAGACGTTTCTTTAGCGAGGACCGTCCAATTTTTCCCCTAAGATGCTAGGCACGAGCCTGGGATTGTTTTTCCACATTGCTTCAGACTAGATCTAGGGGTTGCGGCAATATCACTTAGATAAAATTCATTGGTTATTTAACGGGATTTGAACACGGGACCTCAGGGACTGAAGCCCCGCGCTTTAACCACTAGACCAGCTCGCTCCCCTAATGACCAAGGACATTTAAATCTATGTAGAACATAAACCAACATTGATCATTAACCAGTGAGTTGACGTAGAAGCAAACTTTTGTTTGGGCAGTTGCCTTCCATAGTATAATCTCTTTTGCTGTTTGAAGCAATTACTTTCGTGCACTGCTGGTGCAGACAGCGTGTCAGTGGGGCGAGAAAGTCAGTCTGTGGTCTATGGTAATGGTAATGGTAATGCCACTGGCGACGGTATGGTTATGGTTACTGACCACGCCACACGAGTACATGCGGTTACCAGTGCGTACAATCTTACTTGGATTGGCCTAAAATGTGGACAATTTAAAATTTCAGATAATCATTTTAGTCGTGACGTGATCGTGAAGTTTTTTATTTATGTTGGTCACGGGATGGATCCTATTTAACCTTGCAATGATGTATAACTTGGCAAATTTTCAAATGATGGCCAATGTTGTTACACATGTTGGTATTTTTCGTCTCTAAACATAAACAATTATTGCTCTGTTTTATTTTATTAGTATCAGCTTACTGCAAAATAAAATTTAGACCTATTGGTTTGCATGTACGCCAATCGAGTTGTTTCTCTCTTGTCCATAAGGCTTCTATTACTTATGAACAAATTTTTCACAAATTTGACAAATTATTCTAAAATTTAGTCCTTATACAAATAAGATATTTAGGAATAATGCAGCTGTTCTATCGTAAAACCGACGTAGAAATACAATTGATATGTACTCATCTTTGATAATACAAGGATTTTGTAATTTGTAAATAAAAGTGTTTCATTTGATATAGTTTGAAAGCTCATCAATAGCTCTGATGAAAATATCAAGAATAATGATTTAAACATGCTTCTACTGATTTTTATGAAATGTTATTTTCTGGAATATCGATTCAAATATCTTCAAAACTTAAGATACTGAAACTGAATCAGTTTTCGTCTGGAATGGTGGTCTTGCAATATAATAATCTACAAAAATACTCTAGTGTCTAGGTTTTAAATTCAACGCATGGACACTTGGCCAAGGGTTGTGAAATACGCACAGTAACTATTTGTAATTTTGCCAAAGAACATTGTGTATTCAAGCATCGTAAGATTGAACTAGGTCATAGAAACATACATGAGAAAGCTTATAACCAAAACAATTAATGGCGTTTGATTGACAAAAATATATAGGAATTTATTTAAAATTCTACTGTAAAACCATTGCAATATTTACAAGTTACCATAAATTTAATGGCATCATAGCATGTAACAAAAGAACACACATTCGCTTTTTGCAATATGCCAGTTCTTCTGTTCCTCTATGTGATAAGATAATACTCCATCATGCATTTTACATCTAAATCAACAAGGAGTTTTTAGGAACATTTCAGAAAAAATACATTTACTATTTTTCAAGTTACGCTTGTCGCCAATAGATCATCCCAAACTAACGCAAGATGAGCATTGCCAGTTTTGATAACCATAAACCCTTATTTTGTTATGTAAGGTGTATCAAGTAACATATTTAGGTTAAGGTAGCAAATATTGAATATGCTAATCTGCTAGGTCATGTCTTCAAGGTAGCACGGCGGGAAATCCCGATACATGAAGTGCGTCAAGCTTTTATAAGCCGGTACATTTAGTATAATTATTGCACTATTTTAAAGACTATGTGTAAGCAATAACGTCCTATACTTTCCATGTTTTCTCCTCCAATCCTCTAAATAAGCAGCGGAGACTTTAACGAGCCGGTAAAATGAAGTCGCTAAGTCGACACGACCATTTCTATATTACATTGATGTGTACATATTTAACTTGTTAAGTAAACCAAAATTTGCGTATCATGTTGGATTCTGATGAAATTACACAATAAAAAAATTACATTTATGTTTAATCCACATTTATTTTAAATCCACAATGTCCTAAACATAAGAGAAAATAAATTATTGTGATAGTGTGACCAGTATGGAGGAAACTGCATCAATGTAAAATATGCGTTGAGGGGCTAAAGAAGATTCTTTTACCTATAGAATTGAAAAATAATCAGCTAGAGGGCGTCAAGAAAACCAGCTGTAAATTGTTCTTACGTCGAGTGTAAATAAGGGAATGAATTTTGAGTAGTTATCGATTGCACTAGACTTATCATTGCATTTATTGTTCATCAAATAGAAATGGATAGTGCCGTATGCTACAGTAGAGACCAAATAGTTTAATTTCTCGGTAGTTATTCGTTTATATACAAAATTTAGCTATTGTTTTAGCTTTCTTTTAAAGGTAAACAGCATATACTAAACAGTTTGTACTAACAGTATATTAAATGTTCGTTTAAATAATGGTACAGTATAGGGAAATTATAGTCCATCACGTGGGTCAAGGTGGTTTTTCGACACTCAATAAATCACCTCAACTCTGTTTCATGAAGAATAAGCTACTACGTCTATATTTTGAGAATGGTGAATCAGGACAAGAATTCCCCATGTTATTCGGGTACATTTAAAAATAGGAAATTATTATGCTCACTGTTGATTGGTGTAATGGTAATAAGAAAATATCGGGGAAAACAATGACTCATCAATCAATGTTGCGGATCCTGATGTTTCTGCAACTTGTCGATGGTGTCATGTGTTTGCCACAATATGGAACAGACAGAGCAAGAGAGAGTGGTCGAAGAAAGAGTTTACGAATATACGGTAAAGCGCATGATATATATTCTTCGATAGTACTTTATATATCGATGGGTCATTCTCATGTCACATTTCCTTAAAACTTTTTCGTAGATCCAACTTAAATTAAATCAATTATAATACACCCAAATCAAAGTTGTTAAAAGTTACACATGTTATCGGTATTGATATTGTACTGAAAATTGTGTTTACATTATGAAAAACTGCTAGCTTTGTAAACCATTCGTTTTCAGATTAGCTTAGCAGGAGCAGTTGGAAACCGAAATTACCTGCGAGGCAGATCTCATAGTGGATTTTGAGAAAAGATCGTGTACATATCCAACTATATTCACCTCAGAAAATTGTAATAAAATTAGTAAATGTTATTTGTAAAACAACATATACTGTAATCTATTATTATTTATGTTTATGATAAAATGCGCTTCTTGATCGTTTCCGAAAGACTGTAGTAATGTAACAGTTTCTATTATACAAACATAACACAAGTTTGTTGGTTCCTCTGGCGTGGTTATTCACCTTGATACTTCTTTACTAGTTGTCTAAGGAATGTTCTACTCTTAGATAAACACAATGACTAACACAGGCATTTCTATTTCAGGCTTAAGGCCGCCAGCTTCTCTCACTCACCGCCCATCAAAACTAAGTGAGTAGAAAATCATTGGTTTAATTCAACATTTGAAAAGAGCAGCAATCTGTATACTATGTTAGTTTTGCCATACATAAACTATGCTAAATAAAATATTTCATCTCGACGCTCTTATATGATCGACATGAGGAAATGTTATGCCCGATTATGCTCGATTACATTGATATTTCTTGTTGTTTTGCGAACTTCAGAACAATTTTTGACATAATGCATAACGCTTGTCTCTTACAAGCAAATAGTAGACTCCAAATTCATGGTGAATCAAGAAGAGAACTTTAAGTCGACTTAAAACGTACTTCACGGAATTATAATGAGTCTATTTTGCTGTATTAAATTTTATTTTCTTTACCTTTGCCAGTAATAATCAATGTGTTGCACAGGTGCTAACTAATATTTCACTTCGTGTTGCTTTATGGGACAGGCTGTAAATCCGGTCACGACATTATTGATCTCTTCTCTTCAGTGCAAAATTATCATACCTTTGTATGCAAATTGCTGGTTTGGTATTGCATTCGTTCTGATTTATGCAACTTGTTCAAACTTGCATCATGAAATCATATGCAATAAGATGCAAAACAGTAGAAATTCGCGTATGATTCCATTATATTTTATTAAATCTGTAATGTTACTGCAGTTTCAATGTAAACGGGTTAGTTTCGATTAGTTTGGTTTTAAATATTAGCATAGATTAAAGGAGTAGATATTTAATCTATGATATTAGTAGCTAGTTGGATTTTTTACTTTTGTAACTACCCTTTGAAAAACCATGACAATGGCCCATTACTGTATAAGAACCATTATAAGATATTTCCGTTTTGAGTCTACAATTTAAATCTTTGATATTACTTGAATAAGTCTAAAGTATATTCAATTTTTTTACAATAGGATATGTCTACAATATATTTTTAGTGTTATTTTTCCTAGTTGCATTTCCAATTTCCAATGTTATTTTTTGCTTTAAATTTTTGCATTTATCTATTTTTTATTTTCGTTTAAATTAGTGAAAAAAAACTAAATCTGAATAGAATTTAGTGGGAAATTTTAAACCTCCAATCTGTGCTACTCATCGATATGATTGGAGCTCGCATCATTAATTTTGTCAGTAGTCAGTTGTTAATATGAGAAGACAGTTTTCACATTCAGAAGTGAAGTAGTGATTAAAATTGAGGAATGTGTTTACAAAGAAAACCTTACAAACCAAAGTTTTTGAGACTTACTGCTTTAAACCGTTCTTGGTCGAGTACATCAGAGCAGGTTTAACATGTCTCTGTAAATTAGAAGATTTGTGAATCCAATCCAGTAACAATCCCTCTAGAAATGTATTAAATAGACCTATATTTTGACCCAATGAATATAATTGTACTTTCGACAGGCTAATTGCTACTGCTTATGAGAAAACCTGACCTTGAGTAAATCTCTAACATGTATATTTGCCCGGTATGCTGGTATATTGCAGCACTGTGTTACACAAACCATCAACTCCCTGGTATAATTAGCGTCATTTGCCGATGCGGCGTCAATCTGGGACCCGCTGCAATTTCCGCGGCTTGGCGGGAGAAAGCTCGGATGCTGAGGGCAATTACGACGACGTGGGAACTTGCCAACTTCCGGCACTTTCCCGCCAATGTTGTACACAGAGTACACTGGTCGATGCTGTATGCCATTGATAGTACATATAATCAACGGTTATGCTGTACAAACGAAATTTTCCGTCACAGCGTCCTCGTGGGTGACCTGGATTTCGGCTCTTTAAGCCCAAAATCGTAGGGGCAAAAATGTCGTGAATCGTCGTTTTATTGCGTATTGTGTTCTTCGAGTGTAAAATGTTTGACGAAGTGGATCATTTTAACGCATAATGGATATAAGGTGGTTGTTGTTGTGTCGCCGTTTGTTCTAAATCAGCTTAGAAGGTGTGTCCTTTGAACTCACCATTCCCGATTATCAAGGCATTCGCAATTTCTCTGGGCATTATTTCAAATATCCTAATGAATGTATGAATACTTGAAACCTGTGTCATTTCTTTATTCTTATTTGAAATGTAAACATATGTATAGTAATAGGTTTTGTCTTGTACCAGAAGCCCGCTGCTTCAATCCAGAGAAAAGTGTGAATCTTTTTGATAGCTCTCAACTGAATCCAGCTGACCTCAATTGTTAGACATTTAATAAATGTCTCTGACTTGAACAACAGCTTAAACCAGTTTGTAACATCCTGCCATTCACATTTAGACCTTTAAAATTCTCACACAAAGTGCGTTACTGTCTAGTGTCTAGAGGAGGCTGATTTAGTCGCTGTAAGTTCGTCAAAGACAAGTAACACAATCAGCTGTTCAGTGTCCAGATTCGCCAGCCGCGGAGTCTGTGTGAAGGTCACGCTCCAGATCTGGCCAGTGGCTAGCCATGACCTTGTGGGAAAAGATTGCGAAATGAGAAAAAGTCATGAAAAACACCTTGTAACGGGAATATTGAATGAGGAAAGTGTAGTGTATGTGTGCTAGGCGTTGCTGAGGCATTTCCCTTCCTGCAGTGCTGATCATAAACAAAATTCGACCAGGCTGAAGAGAACATAGTCCTAGAATAGCCCAGTCCTAGTTCAGGTTCGGTCCAGTGGCGAAACCAAAACAACAACAATATGGCAGCGATGGATAAGACTAGGACTAGACATGGTTGACAACCTTTGCTAAAAGTAGTAGATGTTTTGTCACCTACCAACTCGACAATGTCGATACATATTCAAAATTAGCAACGTAGGCTACATGAGAATACGTCTTAAATAATATGCTGGACGTGGTACAGACAGCTCTGCTTTGATTTGCATAGAAGATTACTTATTAGAGATTCAGATTATTAACTTACACCTAGGAATAAACAGTGCCCTGCCTTCATTCTGTGCTTCTACATGTATAGCACTAGGCTTACTGTTCAGATTCCTATCTCCTCTTGGATTTATAATTAGCTTTTTAGTATGACATAATTGAGTTCTCTGTTGCAGAGAAAGTTCTCATGCACATTATGGAAGCCCTGAAACCGAATTACATGGTTAAGTTTCTGCTTCAACACATTTTAAGGTGTTACTCCGCTATATTCTGTCGAAAAATTTAGTATACATAAACCCGTCAAAGTTGTGAATGGAGTTTTGTTTTGGAGCTTTGTTTCGGAGGAAATTTTCTTTATGCCTTGAGCCTTTCTTTTCTATGGTTCGCGATTGTACAAATCTGATCCCCAAAACATAATTAATTGGATTCATACTATAGCAAAGTATTAATTGAAAAAGTCGAATCAAATACACTATATCAGGGCCACCGCTGTAAAATATTTCTTAACAGAACCAACTGAAACTCTGTTTATAGCGCTTGTTTGTTGTGTGTTGCCAAATCTTTTGTCACTGAGGTATGTTATAGAAAGGGTGGTCTCAAAAGAAGTCTCGCCCAATTTAACGAACGAAACGCAAGCATAATCTTATCTGCAAATGCTGTCAGTACGTTATGTACTCTTGTAAGCGTAAGGAAATCGTGCACGACTTCGACTTATTGCAAAGGTTCAGTATCTGAGATCATCTCATCTACCCAAATTGATCTCTTCAGGTTATGTAACGCTAAAAGTAATTATTCCTTAAGGTAGGGAAAGTATTTAGGAAATCCGCATTACTTGTGTTACAGATGAAAAAGTATACAGTAGTTCCGTTTCTGAAACCAGTTTTAAATCACTGCACAGGAGGCATTATCGGTTATCAGTACATTATCTGCAAAAGTAATCAGCACAGTGATTTACACATCAGACCAAACGATCACCATTTATCAATACGAATTCCACTAGAGAGCCTATAATTTTCATCGCCAAAAGAAACGTCAAATCCTCCCAAAGGCTTGTGAAGTTACAAAAAATTAATGGCGAGGATGAGAATGCCATAGAGCAGCAGCAGGTGGTCATTATATAGCTATAGAGGGAGGAAGGCGACGTGGGGAGAGGTCAGTCATCTTCTGTGTAGGGTGTTGTGCAAGTGTTAGAGGTTGTAGAAGAAATGCAAACTGGGGGTAAAAGTGACTGGGTCATTCCAGGGGTGAGTTTTTTTATTATTTTGTGTTTATTCTACAACTACAATCATCGGACCTTTTCCGTTCATTCACTAGGCACCATTAGTTTTTAGAGGAATAGACTATTAGCAATAGAAGTGGCACTGTGGCAGTGAATTAAACTTTGGTAAGGTTAGGTTAGGTTAGTATAGAGTTAGAAAACCCTAACCTAACCTAACCACATTCCCCTTAGTGGTGGTGAATTCCCGATAACCATAATAAGTTAAGAGCTAAATGATTTTGATGAGATTACAATTTCGTAATATATATCGTTCACTTATGGTCATGATTTGAGTTCTGTGTTCTACATATTTCACAGCTGAAGGGGTCAGGGGGAAAACAAACATATTCACAAAAAATCAAAATTGAGATAAGTATGCGTTAAGAATAAACAGTAGCTGTATTTTCACTTCGTGCATTCAGTTAAGGGAATAACGCTCAAAGTACACAGAAAACAAAAAAAAAAAAATGTAGCCCCGATGAATAACGCATGAAGTCACTAGGGTCAGAGGAAACCTATCAAAGCCCAAGCCCGTATACATACGAGTGGGAAACGGAAGCCTGGCGAGCTCTGGCCCTAATCCGGGGTCGAACCCTTTTACGCTTCATTAGGCTTCAGTTCGCACACCAACTAGCTTTCCCCCCAAGAATACCTCTCTCCCCAAAAAGTACCTGACCCGTGGGTAAGAGAGGAGGATGACTTTGATGCCCGTGGGGGGGGGAGGGTGCAAAGGGCAATGGCTTTGGGGAGGAAACACTTCCGTTACTGAGAGGGCAACTGATGGGATAGTGACCTTCCTAGAATTGAATTCTTATTTTTGAGATATTAGGTTAAACAAAATGTATTGCAGCCAATTCTTTGAATCACTAGAGTAATAGCGTAAAGACGATTCAGGAAATGAGCTAGCTATTTCCGTCCAGGGCT